CAGCAGGACAACTTGTTTCTTAGGAAATTGTTTGTTGCTCTGCTGGAGTCAGTTTATGGCCATTATGGTTAGTGCAAAATCAAGGCTTATTTTTAAAAATGTACTGGTACGATTGTATGATTAGTATAAAAAGAGGAAATTGAAGTAGTTACCTGAAGAATACATTGTTTCAGGTTGAACTCTCAAACTTGCTTGAGCGTGCAAGCAGTGGGCAGGTTGTCGGTGGGGCTTTGCACGGACACAGCAGTTTGCCGACACATTGCAGATTGCAGCAGCATAGCTTTAAATAGCACGCTGAGATGGGGGACCGTGCACCTGGGGTTCCCAAAGTGTTACATGTGAATTACTAGTGATGCATGAGCTACTTCAAAGTGGTACCCATAAAAAAAGAAGAGTTGGCATCATGCCCTTTCCCTAAACAAGACAGGGGAGCAATCAAATGTTTCCACCTGCTCCTCTGTACCAAACCTGGCAGAGAGCCTGGAGCTGACATTGCCACCACCTTCATAAAACAGCATGATTATTTTTCTCTAATGATGGTTGAGCAAACAAAGTTTGGGAAACCTGGCTTTTGCCCATAACCTTGAACTGCAGCTTCTGGATCTGCTGTATTTTCTTGCAGTGCACCTTTTGAAATACAGGAGTAGTTGAACAGAAACCTGGAGTTAAATACACAGAAAGGCCTGAAATTGCATCCTCAGATCATGTATTTGGGTTTTGATAACTTGCAGATGATTGGCATCACCTGTATGCCAAAGTTTTTTCAAAGGGAACTACGAGGCAGGAGCCTTTCAGTGGTTTCAGTGATGGATGAAGGGTACTGTGTGCGCCCTGTTCAAAGTGATGTGTGTTAGCCTCATAGCTTAGGGTTTTAGCACCATTTGAAACTTTGAGCTCTCTTAAATTATTTCCTGAAAATCAACATTTTGAGGCACTGATGGGAATCAGTCTTGATCATTCCCTGAAAAGCAATCAAATTCATCTCAAAGTTGTTCTTGGGACAGTTTTTTAACCCCTACCACATGCATCCCAGCATCTCCAGAAGACCAGGATAGACTGTATCTGGTAGAAGAGAAGCCAGTGGTTCACTCCCTGAAGCTGCTGAGCCTTTTACAGTTCTTGGTTACAGATGCTCCTTAAGACTTTGCAGGAAGGACTGAAGATTAAGAGTATATTTGTCTTTGAAGTTCCTGTTTGAGTCCTTGCTGGTTTATGAAGGTTATATCACTAGTTCTCAAAAAGCATTTACAAATGATCAGCACCGGATCTGACCATCTTCAGAGGACTCAATCGAACGTCTCTTCTCGGAGTCTGAGTGGCCACTTTCCTCGACAATGTGACCTGAATGTGAAACTGAGATAATTTCAGCCACTTTAGTCTCAAAATCAGATAGGAAAATAATGTTGTCTTGAGTTTCAAAGGTTATACATGAGCTTTGTCGAGATTAGCCATCGTAGAAGGATTGGCTTAAGCTCAGTGGAAGACCTCATCCTTCCCTGTCATTGCCTCTCTGCGACTTTCTTTCTCAAGTCTGACTTGTCTTTGGATATATTTAGACAGGAGGGAGGTAAATAAAATATATAATCAGTTTATTTTCCTCTTTTTAAAATGGAAGTAAAGGATATCAAATAGAAAATAAGGAACACTGAAGGCTAAAAAAAAAAAATCTCGAAATTTGTGATACAGAGGTTTCTTGGGAATATGTGGTTTAAAGGTAATAAAAATCCAGTGAAGAAACTTCTCCTATGAAGGTGAAGCTACAAGTGCCTCTGTGATTTCATTAACAAAAGAGATGAAATGAACAGAATTGAAAATGCAGAGTGTGCATTTGCTTGCAGAGGCAAAGAATCAAGAGAAGGCAAAAACTCTTGACGGTGAAGATACAGTGTTAATTCTGGAAATATTTGTTGCATTAGTTCTGATTGCTTAGGATAGTGGTCACATTTTGGTTTTGACTGTTACAGGAAAAGAAGTGTGTACAAGGAGAATAATTTTCAGACTAAAAATAGAACTTAAAGAGTATACATAGTAGGTAAACGAGTTGTTGGATATACGTGAGTCATTCAGGGCATCTCGGTCAAAAGAAAACTGTAAGTAGTGGAATTGCTGGGAGACAGTTTTGATAGACAAAACTACATTATCCTCCAGTGAATGTGGAACTAAATGGTGGCTTTGTGTTCACTTCCTCCAGCTTACTGTCATTACATATTTCAAAGTAAAGCACTTCAAAATAGGGTTCTCTTAAAGAATTGGGGTCAGTTTTGCTGCTGAGAAAGTATGTCATCACAGACAGCACTACAGTGCTTGGGGAAAGCTGTATCCAGCAGCTTGTCTGGATAGAGCTGGTTTATTCCCCTTGCCAGATATTACAAACTAGATGTATTTGAAGACCCACGAAAATTATTTAGGTTTCCTGAAAGATTTTTCTTTAATCCAGTATCATCTTTAGCATGCAAAACTCTTTAAGAACAGTGCTAGTAATGGTGTAAGTGCTTATTAATTTTAATGAGCTTTTAGCTGCTTTCTTTTTTTAAGTGGCTGGTGATCATTAATAAATAATGCACCTGACTGCTAGTGTAGACCAAAGCAAAACGGCAATTGAAGTTGATTTTGGACCACACGGTGTAAGAGACTGAAATGTATTGTTGGCAAATAACTGTTCCTTTGGTCCTCCTCCTATCAAGTACTGTTTTTTTCCTAGATGGTGGGTTCTAGTGTTAACTGTGGTGGGAGTGTGTGTGAGGTGTCTAAAACGTATTCTGTGGTTTAAAAAAAAAAAGGCAACTATTTATCTTTACATTTGTTTTGTTGTGTGTTGTTTTTTTTCCCCCTTCTGCAGAGAAGAGAGTGAAAGTGTGCTGACGCTGAAAGGTTTGACTCCGACAGGAATGCTGCCCAGTGGCGTGCTCTCCGGAGGGAAACAGACGCTGCAAAGCGGTAAGCGTGTGTGCCTGTGTGTGTCATTATGTGTTTAAAAAAAAAAAATCAAATTGGTTTTCAACTGCAGAACCCGAGAAAAATAACCACAGTCTTTGCAGAAAAAAACAAAGGGCAGAATAAACCGGGCAGTTGGTTGTACTGTTTGTGAGCAGCTCATATGAGGCTACTTCTCATGACCTATTAGGTTACCACTCATTTTCAAAGAAGGAAGGGGTGAAAAAGTCCCTGAAAATCAACTGTTCACAATGGTAGATCAGCATTGCATGTGAAGTGCGCTCTTCCCACAGTTTACAGCATCTTTCTTTCTTTTTTTCTTTTTTTTTAAGAGCAGCCTTTGATATGCAGAGTACTGAAGGTTCATCTTCGATAATGACACTCACTCTTTATTTTATCTGATTTGTTCTTCCTCATAGAGAATCACCAATGGAAAATAGGTCTAGAATTAGATTTTCTCTCCTAGCAATTCTAGGTGACAGCATGAGAACAATTTCGCTCTGATTTAAGCCCGAGTGAAGGGAGGCTCTTAGAAACACCCTGTTTGCCTTGTACACAAACACAATACAGACTGTCACTTCAGTTTTATACCAAGTGCTTCTTGTTACAGGAAACCTGTAAGTCTATAGTAGGGCTGCCTCTTTTGAGATATTCCTTTTGGAATAAGGAGCTGCAAAGTACTTAATTTGCTACTGTAAGCTCTCCTTTTTTTCCTGTGTGTATTGCTGCAGAGTATATTGCAGGCACACAAGAATGTATCTCGCTTATTGAGGTTCTGTTAGTAGGAGATGTAAGAAATAGAAATGCTTTGTAACCTTAACAGAGTCTCAGCCTCTTGTTTTCCTGTTTCCTTCCTGGAGCATTCTTTCTCTGTATTTTTCGCTTTCCTGTCTCTTTTACCTAGAAGATTCAAGTATACAGTAGTAAACCTTCTTTCCCCTTTTTTTCCCTTCCCTTTTTTTCTTTTTGATGACTTGTGTGTTATGCACATGGTAACATTCTGCTTTGAAAATGCTGCAATATGATTCCACAGGATGCCTCTCCTATTGGGGTTCTAGTCTTTACCTAGGCTTTTCTCTGTATAGTTGCTTTACATTTGTCAGAAAATTAGTCCAAGGAAACTGCTGTTGTTGCCCTGCTAAAATATTGGGAACGGAAATGAATTTGAGAAAATTGCCTAAAGTTCTTGTTATAATGGCTACAAGGAAAATCTCCTCATACTGCAGGATTCTGACTTAGTAAAACATGACTATACACAAGCTTCTGCATTAGTTAACACATAGTACCCCCATTCACCAAATAAGCTGAAGTTTACATAGTTTCTGTTAAGCACACATTCATATCACCATATGTATTAACAGAAAATATGAGTGGTATGTTCTGTTGTGGAAGTATACATTTTGGTCGTCTTTTTTTTTTTTTTTTCTGAGGTGTTAGTGCTGGTTTGGAGATGGCTATTCATTTTCATTTCTCATCCTAGTTATCACGTTTCCTTTTCTTTTAAGTTTGCATTGATTTCGTTCCTTGATTTTTACCATTCCTCTTGCTCTGGAGCTTGAGAGGCATAGGCTTACCTTGGTGCATGCGGGTTAGCTCCTCTCATCTCCCCGTGCAGCAAGATAATTGTATACATCTTGTAGTATTGATCTCAATCCATATTTAACATCCCAACTACAAAAAAAAAAAATTGTTTGGGTTTTATGGTGGATGAAAAAAGCTTCCACATAGGGGAAAATAAGGCAAAAAGAAGAGAGGAAATTCCTGAAAACTTGGCTTCTTGAACTATTCTCTAAACCAGAGAAGTTCTTGAAAATAAAAATTTATTTAAAAATATTTGACCTATACCATTGCTATATTGGATTGCATTTGCTGGTTTGCATCAACTTTCTAAATCTCGGACTGTAGAAACAAATTCATGCCAAAGCTGATGGGTAGAATTCAAATGAAATTACATCTTTAAGAACAATGAATGGTTTCAAAACAGTGGTAACATAGAGCGTATTCATAACACTGCAGCAGCCTCCCAGTTACAAACTTTTCTCTCTCTGACCAGGCTTTGCAATTCTGGAGGTGCAACAGCTTTCAATCTTTCATCTATGCCCATTGATTTAAGTAAAATAATAGAAGAATGCTGTTTGCAGCCTCTGGGTTGACAAAAAGGACGCTTACAGACGGAGCAGGCTGGGGGAGATTGCAGTCAAAGGCAAAGCTGTCTGAGCAAACTCTGTCCCGTGCTGCGGGGAGATTTCTTTTAGTCAGGAGAGGGGAGGAAAAAAAAAAAAGCATTCTGAGAAGTTGTATGTGTGGCTCTTTTGCCTTGTACGGGCAACTAATACTTCTCAAGCTGACATCCGTGTGATGGCTTTATGCCATTTTCCGTTCTCTTGTGACAGGGCAAGTCCAAATGCTCTTATATTCAAAGCTGGGAGAACCCTAACGCTAACCTTTGCGGGTCAGATCGGCGATGGGGAAGACATGAGCATCCTGTAGTTCTTTTGAGAAAACTGCTCAAATGTGTCTTTAAAACCTTATAGTTTGTGAAACTTCTGCTTCAAAACAAACTTATAGCTTAATTCAATCTGCAAATTATTGTTTTTGTGTAAGCATTTGTGTGTGTGTGTGTGTCTGTTTTGGCAAAATCCAGCACTTGCAGTAACATGAGTGTTGTAGCTCCTTTGCTGTTCACTGACTTGTTCTTAGAGTTAAAATCCTCTGCTCATTTTTTCTCATCCGTTTTGCTACCCCTTTCTTCTCTTCAGCTACTGTTGAGGCTATTGAGGCTGATGAAGGTAAATTGGCCAGTCCCCTTTCTGTTGGTGCCCCAACAGACAAGGGCTCTGCTGGGTGTATTCATTTCGCTGTAGCTTGTACAGATTGTGTGGGTGTTGGGCTAACAATTGTGGCTCGGTATTAACCAAGATGTCATTGCTTTAAAGGGGAAAATGTGGTTTTTGGGTTTTTTTCCTCTTGCTGTTGTTGTGGTTTTTCTCTTTCTGCAAGTTACAAGCACGTTGGACTTTTGCTGTATGTTGAAGTAAGCACTGAGTAATGCCACAGGAGATCAGGGGACATGGATTTTATGGGACATGACCTGGCAGCAGCTCGTAAATGCTCTGTGACACATAGCTCAAAAGCTGGGTGCTGGAGGCTGGCTCTCATCTCCGCCTCAAACTATCCTCAGCAACCTCTGGTCCAGGAAAACACACAGCTTTTTATAAATATCCTCCCTTTTTGTTGTTTTTTTTGTTTGTTTGTTTTTTCTTTCTTTTTCTTTTTTGCTTCAGTTTGTTTCATTTCTTTTAGGTCACTAGTAAAAAAAATTTATTGGTCTTTTGTTCCAGTTCAGCATGTTTCTGTTTCTCTTTAAAAATAAAACAACAATGAAACATTCATTTGTCTGCAAGATGTCTGCTCCCTCTGGTAGTGGCAGTTTACACACTGGATATTTACATTGGAGCAACTATTAACACCAGCATCGTTTTAGCTACAAATATGAAATGACTGGCTGCCTCCGACCATTTCCGAACGTTTAGTATTGAACATTCTGAACATTTAGTATGGTGCTGTATTGGCAGACCTCTAATTTAACCCTTTGAGCAATTTTTAACACTACAGTTAAAACCTAAGTCGTCACATACTGCAGTGTCGATGTGCAGTATTCATTCGGCATTATAAAGTTTTGGAAGAAGAATTTTCAGAATTCCCCTTTAAAACAAAATTCTTCAGTTGTATTTTGTTCTTGCCCCTCTCAAATTTTCTGTGGATTTTTTTTTTGTCAATTAAAAAATTTTTAAAAAAATCTGATTATTGCTGTCCGTTGGTAAGATGTGCCCTTTTGGCCAGTTGAATTTGGTTTTGATTTTTATAAGGCAGTGGATAAAATTACAGAACAAACAAGTAAGAGAAAATACAACTGCTTTCTAAATAGCAGTGAGTAAGCTGCTATTTATGTTGGAATTATCTATTCCTATCGGCAATCTCTAATCCGCAGTGTGCATTCTTGTTGACAGTTTGGCTGTTTTCTGTGACTTTCTGTGATTTATGTGTTGTGTTTTAGTATACTCACGATGTAAACTGCTAATACTCGTGGTCTGACCAGCAACTACAGCAGAGCCCCTTCCTCAGTATTACAGATGATAACGTGTCTGCCTGAAATAGTCGCTTCAACGTGCCTCCATTCCAGCAAGACGCACCCTTCATGTTCATTATGTGCCATCCTCGCTAGTTAGGCACCGTAACCATAGTCGTAATGACTAGTCTACACAGACGAAGCTAACGATGGAGCAGATGTTTCGCCCTTTTCCAGTTGTCCCTCTGTGGCTCTTGCTTTAAGGGATTGGCCTGGGCACTTCTTAGACATCTTCATTTTTGTGGTAGAAGACCAAGTCTAAAAAAAAAAAAACAAAACAAAAAAAAAACACCAACAACCCAAACCTTGGAAAAACCTCACTGTAGGGCCTGTTGTGTTTTCACTGCTCTGTCCCTACTCACTTCACTAATCACCGTTATGTTGTTGTTGTTTTTTGAAGTATAATCCGTGTTAAAACCCATGCACTTCACAAAGTTCCAGTATAACATTGGTGAAACTGGCTAAGGAACTATGTCCTGAGGCAAACAGCATCTGTCCATTTTCACAGGAGTGGCTGGCAAAAATATCACCATGAAAACTTTTCTTGCCCCCAGCCCTCACATAATGCAAGGAGTGGTAGATTGGTACCAGTGGTACCAGGGATGTTCTGGGGGTTTGGGTTAGTTCGCCTTTTTTTTTTTCTTTTTTTTTTTTTTAACAGAAGTTAGCAGCTTGTCCACAATCGGAACTGCATATTGGAAGGAGAGCAGGAGTACTTTGGGGTAAAGAGAAGATAAAGGAAGGGAAGGAATATTGAATTTGGTCTTTGAAACTCCCTTACCATTTTCTCCCCAGGGAGTTTGCAGTTTCCTGGTACTAACACACCATTTCTGCTCTATGGCATGTTGAGATAGATGGCAGAGCACAAGTGCCAGTTCTGGAAGTGCAGTGCATTGATTTGGTGCAGATAAGAGAAAAACACACAGGAGGCAGTGACAAATTACCTCCGGAGCTGTGACCTGCTGTTTGCCTACAGTGCTTTTTTCTCTTTTGCTCTAAATCTAAAGATCTTCAACTCTTCAATTAAAGAGAGGAAAAAATAAAACAAAAAAAAAAAAAATCTTACTCTACAAAGACATTCCCCAGCCTCTGGCTGCCTCCTGAGGTCGGAGTGGCCTCATCGATGTTGCTGCTGAAGGGCAGATCAAAGGTCCTGAGGTTCAGGTGGACCTTTGGTCCTTTGTCAGGGCGTTTCCAAAGAAGTGTACAGATGTGCCAAAACAACAGTATCACTGGTCTGTGTTGCACGATGTTACCGCTGTTGGACTCGAGCAGCTTTCTATAAGTCCAGGGACGTGTCGGAGATGGTAGCTGCCCCAAGCAACCAACAAGCAGCTCACCTGCATTGAGTATATAGGGCAACCTGTTGTAGGGTCACCCCAGATCTCCCATAGCTTTAATGTATATCCTGCAGACTGACCTCCCCGTGTCGTCACCATCTCTAACTGGACAGTGGTTTTTCACCTGCTCTTTGAAGGTAAAATGGGAGTTTTGCCTGAGTTAATGGCATTACGGCCAGGCACGATGTTTTTCAGGCTATACGTGATGGTGACAAGTGGTAGCTCACCAGCTCACTCCTGTGCCCTAAGCACGGTTCCCAATGGCAAACTATAGTTTCATGTCGGCTTCTGAGCGTTTTAAGCAGAACCCCAGTGGACAACAAAATAGCAGCAGTTGATCTTGTTGAAAAAACTCGTTGTGTTGGAAGAGACGGTGGTGGTTAACCCCCAGCTCTTTCCCAGTATGGTAAGGAGTTGGTCGTGTTGTCAGATCTTCTCATTGCCACTTTCGCAAAGAAGGACTTCCCCACTCATTGCTAAGTCGGGGGAAAAGCTGCCGAGAGTTTTACCTTGCTAATTTTTCCTTTTTTTAATAATCCTTTATTTAGCTATCAAAGGATTTTCACCCCAGCATAAGATCACTAGCTTCGAAGAGGCCAAAGGCTTAGATCGAATTAATGAGCGAATGCCTCCACGCAGAGACGTGCCATCCGATGCCAACCTTAACTCCATCAACAAGGCAATCTCCACAGAGACTAATGGCACGGACAGCAACGGCAGTAATAGCAGCAATATCCAGTGACCACCGGCCGGGAGGGGGGTTGAGCTGCAGGGCGCGCTGGGGTTGCTGCACAGCAGCAGTGGGATGTTCTTGCCTCTGATCATAGCTTTCTTGCTCTGGGGGCCAGGTGTTGGATTCAGTTTACAAAAAAAAAAAAAATCATCTACGAAGAGATTGTCAACTTTAATTTGGCGGGAGGGAGGGTGGGGGAGAGACACCTCCTTTGGATATGCCTTTAAAATGCTTGTAGAAAAATGAAAGCTCGTGCTGGAATATATTGCAAAGTTAGGGGAATGAACATGTTTTCCTACTGCATTGGGAGAGGCTAGATACGTTACTGAAAGGCCTTTTGTTATGTTACTGGACATGAAAACTTTGTTTAATTTCTTACTAACTATTGTACGTTTACAGTTGCAGCACTAAACATGGACAACATCGAAACATTTTTAACAAAATGTACAAACTAAATAAGGACTATTTATTGATAATGTTTTGCTACTCTTGTCAGACAATGGCTATGAAATAAATTAGGCAGTCTTTAAAAATATAGAGAAAAAAAAGAGAAAAAAAAAGAAAAAAAAAAAGAATGTTGGAAATTTGTTTAAAATGCCAAAAAAAGAAAGAGAGAGAGAGAGACAGTTTAATTTTGTACAGATTATGCTTACCTCAGGTTTCTTTAGTGTGCTTCAATGCCCTTCTTTAAATATAACACTTATCTTACTAATTTGGCAGCAATTATTCTTTTCTTTGTTTAAAAAAACAAACTGGAATAATGATAACATTTATCTTTTTTTGCTGTTTATATTTAGGGGGGTTTGGTTTGGGGGGTTTTCTGGGTTTTTTTGGTAAATCAAGTCTTGGTTGTGGCTTGCTGAATTTAAATATTTATGAGTGGTGCATTTTTAAGTATAGTGAACAAGACACCATATTAAGTGCAGTGAAAAGCATCTATATTCTGTAAAAATCTGCCTATGCATGTTTTTTAAGAAAAAAAATGGCTGTATAGGCCTATATGGGACTGTAATGCGCTTAGTGGTCTGACTTATACTGGAAATGTATGTATACTGGCGTACTTTATATTCTCTAAAAAAAAAATGCTTAATGCCTTTGAAATTTTGTAATCACAAAAAAGCTTTGAAAAATCTAAAGGGGAGAGTATTCTTAAAGTTTTTAACATAAGCTTGTCAGTGCACATATAGATGGGTAGCATGTTTAGCAAACCTTGTGAAATTTAAATAAGTTTGTAGTTACATGTAAAATTCTAAATGCATGATAACTGTTAATGTCATAATGGTTTAGTCATTTTGTTCTGTTCTGTCATGTGCCACAAAACGTGTAATTTTTTCACTTTTTTCCCTTTGTATATCAGTTACGGGTTTCAACTGGTTAAAACTAAAAAAGAAAAAGAAACAAAACAAAACAGTCCATTGATATTTTTTAACGATTGTATAAGTGCCCAAGTAATTCACTACAGCCTACAGCCTTGCCTTTGTAATTTGACTTCGAAATGTTGGCAATCAAAGCATGCACTTGTAACAATGAAAGAAGCATTTTATATTACTACTCAATAAAAATGTGCATGAACTTAAGCACTCTTCCCTTTCTTGCTGGCTCAGCCGCAGAAGCGCACGCAGGCACACGTGCCTGAGCGCTTGGTGCTCTCTTTTGCTCTGGACAGAAGACCACCATCGGTGTAAGAGAAGAATGACTTTGTTTCACTATTCAAGGTCAGTTCTTTGCTGAGAATCCATTTATTACCCAGCTGATGTAGGCTACTGAATGTCTGCAGACTCCCCAGATGCCTGTTTCCCCCCAAGTTCTGGGGTTTTTTTGATAAAATGAGCAGGATGTATCCCACAGGTAGGGTGCAGAAGAAAACGTGCCCTCTGTGTGCTTTTTACCCCCTCATCTGGAGTGGTCGAAAAGGTCCATTAGTGTCATTTACAATGTTCCTTTAGGAAAAAAAAAAAAAAAAAAGAAAAAAATCAACAATTTCAGATGCTCTCTCTTTTACTCAGAGGTGAAATGTGAAAGCTCTGCCTTATTCTCATTTTCTCCTAAACTGTGCTGAGCATGCTTCCGTGGTCCCTCACCCTGCGAAGAACTGGTGGACGATGCCAAATGGTGCAACATGGTGGGTATTGCTTTAGTCCTGCTCTCTTATGTGTTTTCTCCACTTCAGCTCAGTGTCTTGTTAATTTTGGCAAAATAGGACAGGTGGCAAAAATAAAGAGAATTTGTAATATACAGGACTGGAAAATAAGATCAATTTTAGATTAAAATTTTTATTTCAGCTTGTAGCTGTATAGCACAGGAGGGAGACGCGCAGAGTCTAACTGTTGGTCTGATCGGTGAAGCTGGGCATCTGGTAGAAGTTGGAGTGGCCAGTTCCCGTGCCAGTCCATCCTGCGTACAGGCTGGCTGAACACAGGTGAGTTTTTCGGTCAAGATGCGTGAGCTGGCGCTCGGCAGGCAGTTTGTGCAACACAGAACACCGTTGGTTGGTGCAACGTCTGCTGTCTGGATTCATTTGTGTTGGGCCCCAGCAGTTGCCTAAGCTATAATTTAACAGCAAGAAATGGACTTTCCTTGCAGCAGTGGCGGTGTGGCATAGATCTCTCCATCAGTAAACTTAACCCAAAGGATCCACACTACAAATGAGCGGTGGGTTTGCCAGTGCCTGCTGTGATTGCCGAAAAGCTTACGGGTAAGCAAGGTAGCCCAGCCTGAGTAACGCCTTAGAAAATGGACTAAATCTCTTTGGTCAGCAAGGAAATTTGGAGGGTTTTTTTAACTTTTGGAAGACTAGAAAATGTCCTGAGCGTGCAAAATAGCAGTGTCCCAAGTGTCATGGTAAGATGGTCCTGCCCTTTGCTGGAGCAAGACCCGCCATCCTGCAATGGGTCAGATTCTAGGCTGTCTCTGAACGATTGTTCCTAAAAGGACAAAAAATAATTTCCCAAGGTTATTTCTTCACAGGGCATCCCATCTCTTCCAGCTCGCCTTCCTTTTTTTTTCCTGCTGCAGAAGGAGCTGTAGATGAATTTGAAGAAAAAACCTGGTGCCACTGAAGGCTTGATTTTTGGCTTGCATGGCCTCGCTCCGGGAGGTGCCACACGCTGGAGTATGTCTCCCAGTACAGGTTTCTTCCTTCCTACCAAATATGCTGCTTTAATGCCAATAATATAATAGGCACTTACATCAGGATTTACGGTCACTTTCCAACCGCTTTATTCCCACCGTGTGAGGCAGTACAGTGTTTTCTGCACTGTCAGAGTTCTCAGCAGCTATTAAACACGAAGCATATTAGCTTTCTGAAGAAGACAACACTCAAAGTTTGTCCAGGGTTTCCCCCAAAATTGCAGTAAGTTTAACTCTGCGTAAGCTTGTGCCAGAATTGCCAGTGTCAGGCACAGATATATCAATTCTTCTAGCATTTTCCTTGGCACCCTTTTTTATTGCCAGAGGAGGATCGTCTGGGGCCTCTGGAGGAGTTTGGCTATAACTTGGCTTTCTCCTGAGAACTTAGCCAGCTAAACTGAGGTCGGAAAGCAGGGCTAAAAACAGCCTCAGAAAGATGCTGCTGCTTAGCGTAGACCTGATCTCCATCCCTTCTCACTTTAGCTTTGGGTTTTTGTGAAACGATAGAATTTGGATTGCTAAAAAAAAAAAAAAAGAAAATTTAGGGACACTTTCTAGGTTCAAACTGAATTTACAGTTTCAGTGCTAAGAGATCGGTTTCCCTTCTTTTTCAAGGTACCGTTGCTCAGATTAGTCAGATCCATGACTCTTCCCACTCCTTTCACAAATAGGAGGGATGTGAGAATCGGCTGTTTCAAATGTTAGAAAACCACAAGCACCAAAGCAGCTGTTTGGAAAATAGTTTGCAGATCGCTTTCTTAGTTGCTTTTTGGAGGATGCTTGATTCTGCTAAAAATGGCCATTTTTGGCATGCAAAAGGATGAAATTTCTGGTTCTTGAATGATTTAGAAAAAGCATATCCGAGTTTTGCGTGTTCCTATGCGTATATTCACGTGCATATGAAAACACAGAGGACTACAGCCACTTCCATGGGGGCCACAAAAAAGGAGGAGTTGATGGAGCCTACAGGTAGGGTGGGGTTTTTTGGTCTTGCTGAGCTGACTTTGCAGTATCAAGCCTGGTAAGCGTTATAAATATTTTATGAGGCTTTTTTTTTTCTTCTTAAGTGACTTGAGGGCAGTTTCAGCTTTGTATGCGACACCACGGTTTATCAAGCGGACAGCTAGCTGTGTGCTCTGGGCAGTATTCTGCCACAGCACACCATCGCAAAGGGAAGGGCTGCCGTGGCTCTGCCAGCCCTGACAAAAAGTTGTTTTAGGTAAAGCAGCGTGGGCAAAGAACGTGCTAAAAGACTGCCTTAGCTGCCAGCGGGAGGTCTGCAGGCATGGTGGCGGATGTGGCAGCGTCTGCTCCGTTGTGGAGTCCACTCGTGGCCACTGCTAGTTGCTCCAGGGTTCACCAGGGCCCCCCGCCCTTTGGATGGGGTCTTGTGGGGTCATTTGCTGGAGGTTTGGGTCTGTGTGCCCTGGTGGGCGATTCGTTCAGCAGAAAATCTTGAGCAAGAAGCGATGGTTTCATACATCAGCTGTTACATCCCTGAGGCAGTTGATGTAGACAACTGTGGTGTGATCAAGCAAGCCCATTTCTCTCAACATCTGGGTATTTAATAATCTCTTTTGCTTTAAATGAGCAGTTGAGCACCGTGACTTGGACTAATTTCAGTGTTTTGGGCTGCAGGAGCCTGTTAGGTTACAGAATCAGGGGCTCGCTGGGGCCAACAGGCACCGCTGAGATGGACTCCCCCAACCCAGCTGCTCACCCAGGGGCACCTGGAGCAGGTTGCTCAGGACTGTGTCCACTCAGGTTTTGAGTATCTGCAAGGATGGAGACTCCACAACCTCTCTGGGCAACCTATGCCAGTGCTTGACAACTCTTACAGTAAAAAAAAGATTTTTCTTACATTTAAAAATATTCTGTATTTCAGTTTGTGCCCATTGCCTCTTGTCCTGTGGCTGGGCCCCACTGAGAAGAGCCTGGCTTCGTCTTCTTTACTCCCTCCATCAAGTATTTATGCATCTTTTCTCCAAGCTGAGCAGTCCCAGCTCTCTCCATCTCTCCCCATCAGTCAGATGCTCCAGTCCCTTAATGACCTTCACGGACCTTTGCTGAACTCACCTCAGTGAGCTCTGTCTTGTGCTGGGGAGCCCAGACCTGGCTCACCGGTGCTGAGCAAAGGGGGGAAAGTCAATTACCTGCACTGGTTTCCTGTGAAGACATTTCTGGCTTTGGAAGTCACAGAGATGGGAACCGTACCTCAGCAAATGGAAGCAGCAGAGGCACGTTGCAGTCCCAGAACTGAGATGTTCTAAGATACAGATTGAAGAAGGTAAGAGAAAGCGAATGCCCCACCAGTTTGAGAGGATAGTGGAAGACTGGAATAATATTTATTGCCAAATTTGGTAATCAATTTGATCAGGAAATTATCCAGGTAGGTATCAGTTGATACCCT